CAGCCTCTTCTCCGTGGTGCCCAGCAACAGGACAAGAGGCAACGGGCACAAACTGAACCACAGGAAATTCTGTTTGAACCTGAGGAGAACCTTCTTGACTGTGGGGGTGACAGAGCACTGGAAGAGGTTGCCCAGAGGGGTAGTGGAGTCTCCTTCGCTGGAGATATTCAAAACCCACCTGGATGTGATCCTGGGCAATATGCTCTAGAGGACCCTGCTGGAGCAGCGGGGCTGGACTAGCGGATCTCCAGAGGTCCCTTCCAACCTTGGCTGTTCCGTGATTCTGTGAATGAAAGGTTATGCAAAGCCAGTTCAAGGAGATCTTCAGATATATACTGCTGCTTACCTTGCAAGAGGACACTGTCCAATTCACCTGCAACCCTACTTGATTTGCAGCTCCAACACAGTGGCAGGTCAAGTTACCCTCCAGAAACACTCTTCTACCTGACCTCAGTTCTAAGCTCCGTAAAATAAGACTGATTTTTCCCATAAAGTAGCATAGACAAAGATATAGAGGAAGAGAGAACAGCACTAGCTTCTGAGAGAATAACTCTGTGATACATAGGATCCCCAAGTTCTTCTCCATCACACTGGAAATACCCTGCTTTCTGCACTGGACCACAGATGGAGGAACAACCTCCTAAATATATGGGTACGGATTTACCCTGGTCATCTCTGCTGCAGTCAGCAAAAGAGAAGGAAAGTCTTCCTACATCCTGACCATCAAGAGACTGTAGGAACTGAGAGTCAGCTGAGGAGACAGCAGTTCAACTCATGACTGAGAGATAAAGAAGCCAGTAACATCCTCATCGCTTGACTAGCCCCTGTGAAACTTCAGCATCAGAAGCAACACAAGGAGGAGTAAATCTCACAATCCCACACTGCCAAATACAGCTCAGAGCAATGCTGGATAACCCAGCAGCTACACCAGCTGCTAAGCTGCCCTAGAGCTTTCCTGCTGGCACAATTTAGATCAGGATAGGCTGAGGATTGATGGAGATAAAGGTCACCGCATCCTACTTCCTGACCCACTTCACATACCATCTTGTTATCAAGAGCCAGCCATCCCTGGCTGACATCTCAGTGAAAAGGGCTGAGCAAGCTGAGGAAAGACCATGTGCTCCTGGGAGCTGGCAATTACTTTAGAGCACTTACTGCATTTCTGTTCTTCTAATGTCCTGTTTCCATAGAAACAAGGCCTGGAAATGGTAGACATTTCTTTTTTAATTGGTACTTCTTTTCTCCCCACTAACTTGCAGAACTGCATCCCTGGAATACCAGCTGCAGCAGTTGGGGTGGCATATGCAGCCAGACCTTTTCCTGCCATTCTATTTTAGAGATCCCACCACATCACTGTTTCTGGAGAACGCACTGTTCCCAGGATGGCAGCCACCTTGTCCCAGGGGCAGTGCTCTCCTGGGCACTATTAACACACAAGGCCTCTGTGCTCAGAGCGCCTCTGCACACTCTCTCCCAGAACAGGAAATGTTTCTCTATTCCTTACAGCACCGAATGTTGAAAGTTAAAAGCAGGACTGCCCATGACTGAGGGAAGCTTTCTGGGAAGCAGTTACAGAAACAGCTAGTGCCTTCACAGATGCCTCTTCGTTCAGGAAGTTCTGAATAACAGGACAGCCAGTTTGTTTTAAAAGCAAACGAAGCTGGCGGCATCCAGAATCACCAGCCCTTGGCCATGGGGTGTCTGGAGTCACCAACAGCTCTTGCTGCCATTTTTTCTTTTCCTTCTTATTTCTATAGGAGATGTAAGTATCATGAAACGCAGACCAAGTCAAAAACACACACTACAAAAAAAAATTCTACTGCAGTATAAGAGGTTGGGCAAATAGAACAATAAAACTTTCTAGGAGGCTGCAAGCTTGGCAGGATCTGAAAGCCTGCTGACCTAACTCAAACACAAAACACAGGCAGCTGCCGGAAGTCAGCAGCTTCGCAACCTTCTGCAAAATCATGATTTAACTAGGCCCTCTACAGATCTGTTTTTCCCGTACATGAACTTCAGGCCTCAAAACAATGAAGCAAATACACACAGCACCTGGGCTAGATCCTGTTTGCAAAACTGGGCAGCCAGTTCTGGGCCTGGTACACCATTGCAATGCCAGCCTGCATCCCCCAGAACTGGAGCTGGGCACAGTCCTGGGGGAAGGCCCCTCTCCCAGACCCTGAGGAAGTGAAGCAAGGCAATGATAGATCTGGCATGCCCAGGAAACCTGGCAAGCTCATGGGAGACTGAAACAAGTCCAAAACAATACATCAGACACTTTGCTTGGTCAGCAGCAGGAGAGGAGGAAAAAAAAAAACATGCTGTATTGGAGCTGTCCTTTTTCTCTTCTTTAAAAGGTGTACTGTCACTGATTTGTCCAGAAAGTTTGCAGTTACACATAACACTGGAATTACCAAAACCAAGGGAGTCAAACCATCTCTCTGCAGATTAAGTGGCCTCACAGGCTAGGCTAACAAACTCCAGAACCTGATGCGGGCTTTCTTGCAAACCCTTGGGCAAACCACTTGCTGCCTCTCATTTGCCCTGCCAGGGAATGGGAACACAAATCCTTTGCACGAGCTTGACTTTTGCCATGCCCGAGTACAAGCTATTTGCATCCCACTGGAGAGCAGAGCCATGATCACTCAACCTCCTTCACTCTTTCTCCTGCTAAGTCAATTGCTCAGCAGTAACGACATCCCAGCAGTGAGAGGGAGTAAGAAAAGGAAAAGCAGCTATAAAACCACTGCATCTGGCCGTCTCAGGGCTTAGACGCATTGAGCAGGGTTGTGTTAACTGCCTGGGTACGCTGCAAGACTGCAGCAAACAGTTTGCAGGTTATCTCCCTTCCCTTGAGGGCTAAATGAACTTCACTCTATTTGCTGTGGGCTAAAAGCATGCAAAGAAAGACTCTGAAGCAGTAGTTTCATGCCCTCAAAACCGAAGCTGTGGCTTTTTATACTGTCAAAAAGTTGTTTGTATCACTGATTCCTGCTTGGTTAGAAGCCCCAGCCAGAGCAGCTAGGTGGAAACTGCTGGCTCACTAACAGCGCCTCCAAGAGTCTTTGCATGAACCAGGCATGGATTTACCTGGCAGGGGTCTATACAGGGTCTTTCTCCCCACTGCCCCACCTGTACTAGTCACAGTAAAAGATTTTGCCCAGGTCATTTGACAATATCTAGCCCTGCTACGGATGACAGGCTGGACTTTCCTTGGTTTCAGGACTGAGGTCAGCATGAGCAAAACAGGAGCCGATCAAAACGTCCACGGCAGACTTGCTCACCAGAACTCCAGTAAGCAACAGAAACAGGACCAGCAGAAGCAGGCTCCAACAGCCAAGCGACATGGGAAGTTTATCCTCTGCAGAGGCATAGTACTGCCTGTAAGAGAGCGGAGTATATGTGCTTCTCCTTGAGCAACACTCCCTCCAGGCTAGACTTCACGAAATCTGAGCTTTTTTTCCCACGTCTAGCTCAGCGTTTCAAGAGCTCTTTTGTTTCTGAAAGGAGAATACTATCCACACTGAGTGTATTTTCATCAGGCTAATGCTTATGCTTACCTGTTACCTTCGTGCATGGGAAAGAAGAGTGGAAGAAAGGCAGCTTATCACTCCTTGATGCCTTAGCCAAAAAACATGCACTTTTCAGCCTTAATCTCAATTGCAAATGTAACTACAGTTTTCCTAACACCTTGGGGTCTCAAATCTAATCCATATTAGACCTCAACAGATCACAACCGGTTCAGCAACATGCACAGTCCTTTGAATATACATCAATTCTAGCTTCCTCAGACTGTTAAGTATTACTTTAGCAAGTACTGTTTCCCATGCCCATTACTACAGAGCTGTTCTTTGACACGGACCTGGCGTAGTCTCTTTGTAGTATTTAGAGCACCTGGTTGTCCAAACACCAGAAGAAATGACTTGACCCCTCTTTGTCCACAGCAGACCTATGAAAGCACAGAAGCGCCACTGGATTTGATTTTGAAAGCTCACCTGATGACTACATGGATGTAATACTGAGGTGTCCTGTGTGTTTACTGTTCTCCTAAAGATGACTGTACTTTTTCTCATGTTCATTAACTGCATATGTGCGTACAGAGGGAGATCAGGAAGGACAAGGCTCAAGCATCAAGGTGCATGTCAAGAACCAGCACCCAGAGCTAAAGCTTCGAGAAAACCACTGAAGTATCACACAACAAAACAATGGAACCAAGTCCCACCTTCCACATCCTGTATCCTGCCTTTGAACCAGGTCAAGCAGTCTACTTTACAATGCAGTGCCGAATACTTTCAGGCAGTCCCAGGATTCTCTCCCCAGGCAATCCTAATTAAACAGGAAGCTGCCTTTTCCTGCTGTCACAAGATGTTCTTCTTCGTAGTGATTTAAGCCTGCTCTAGCCTGGAGTTATTCACTAAGAAAACATATCCCCTTCAGGCCACTAACAGGTAGGAGGCAAAGCTGCTCTCTACCATCTACCTCCCCAATCCCACAGAAACAGCAAAATGCAAGGAAAGCTCTGCACAGCAACACATGTCATTCCTTACCCTCTGCACACTGTGAAAGCCCCTTTCTCTCCTCTGCACAGCACTCTCCACTGCAGAAATCTCTTACACAGCATGTGGCCAGACATCCACTGGCACTGCAGCATTACCAGGTCATCTCCTGAACGACACTGAATCACTTTACAGACACGCCTGCCACCAGCAACTGGTTCCTACCACCCCTCCCATATTTCTCTGCCCTACCACACCCTTGGCATCACTGGGAAGTCCAGCTAGGCCAGTAATGACAGTAGACTCTCTCCCTTCCCTCTAACCCAGTGCTATAACATTTCAGCAGCTACATCTTTGAAACTCTCAGCATTTTACATGCAACCCAAGGCCTTCCCTCTCTGCCACCCCCCCCCAGCAACAATGCTGACAGCAGCATTGCAGTAGCTGAGATGCTAGAGGATAATTACAAACTCACTTCGCTCAGTGCACTGCAGCATCGTGAACACGTTTCCCTGAGCTGCCCACAGCCGTGTGGCAGGGCCGGTGGAGACTGGCGCAGCAGCTTCACCAGCAGCCAGAAGCGCAGCATGAGCCAGGGCACTGGGGAAAGGGCGGGCAGGATGCCTGAGAGACACCTGGCAGAGTTACTACTCAACAAAACCTGGGCAGAAGGAACCCAAGTGAAAAAAATCAAATGGGATTACCACAGCTACTACTTGACATTTTACAGAAGAACTGCAGTCCTCAAAACCAGAACTGGCCCAAATCCAAGGCTCTCCCAGTCTC